AGAATTGAGAATTTGAGATTGAGACTTGAAATCTTGAAAATTGGAGAATGAGAGAAATTGAGATTGAGAAATGAGAGTTGAGTGAAGAAATGAAGAAGAGGGGTGTATTTATAGTTTTAGAGAAGTTTAATTTTGTAAATTGAAAAAAGGTTAAATTTTAAAGAAAAAAGAGGCTATTAATGCAATTAACCCGTTGGGCAACGGATCCCTGCCAGGTCTTACCGTTGCCAACGGTTAGTGGGCCCCACTTAATTCAAAAAATTAAAAAAAAAACAAAAAAAAAAGATTGTACCGGGCCGGGCCGGTTTAACCGGTACACGGTACTGTTTACGTGGACCGGGTTTGACCGGTCCAGTTAACCGTTACCAAAATTTAAACGGACCAACCCCATCTACTCCTCCTACCCAGCCCCACCCGGCCCCCTATGTACCGGGCCGGTCCGGTTCCGGTTTCAACCGGTCTGGGCCGGTTCGGTTACGGGTCAACCCGACCCGTTAAACACCTTTAATACACACTACGTTTGCCAGATGGCACGCGCGTGTTTAACAAAAAAAAATGAGCGCGTCAAACCAATGTATTATCTGTCCAAGTCCTTATATAAGCGCACGTGTTTATGCTTAAAATCTTAAATACCTGATATAATTCCGATGACTTATCGGAATTATCACTTTCAATTGGGACAGGAGAAGGCACCGGTTCTTGTAATTACTATTTGCTAGTTTCTTTGCCCTTGCTACTAAAAACGGTTACTGTGTTCATCTGTCTCGTAGTAGGTTGATCTCTTCTGATTTTCTTGATCCCTTCTGGTGTATGAAACTTTAACAGTTGATGGTAGATTGAAGGTACGACCTTCATTTCATGTATCCACGGCCTTCCGAGGATGACATATTAATCCATGTCGCCATCTACCACTTCGAATAAGGTGGTTTTTGTTACACATTCGGCATGTGTGGGTAAAAGAATTTCTCCTAGGGTTATCACACTTATAGGTTGAAGCCGGCTAGAAACTTTGTCATCGGAATGATGTTCCCGGTTAACTTCGCTTGCTCCAGAACCCTCAAGTACATGATGTTGGCTGAACTTCCTGAGTCAACCAAAACACGCTTAATTTTAAAATTTAAAACATTAAGAGAAATTACCAAAGCATCATTGTACGGTAGAAGAAGTCCATCAGCATCTTCCCCGAGAAGGTGATGTCATCTTCTGAAACTTCTCGGATCCTCCTACCATGAGTTACCGATATCTTCTTTCCTGCCAGAAATGTCATCCTATTGACTTCGTCTCTCCGAAGATCATGTTATTTGTCATCTGAGGTGACCTTGCTGCCAGTTTTGATGGCTTTACATTATCCTGGTTTCTCTCATAGTTGTTCTTGGCGCGATCGTTTAAAAACTCTCTGAGGTGACCATTCTTTAGCAACACTGCCACCTATTCTCGAAGATGTCGGCAGTCCCCAGTCTTATGGCCGTGAGTCCCATGGAATTCACGCCATAAATTAGGATCCCTTTGGCTAGGATCGATCGGATCGATTTTGGGAACCTAGCTTTTTTAATATTTTACCAGTTCCACCAGGATGATATTAAAATTGTAATTGGGCAACCAGGGATAAATTAAATCTAGGGACCCTGGTACCTCTTTCTCTTGCAACGATTTATTACTCCGTCAACGATCCATTGATCTATTGGAAGTGATCATATCCGATGACTGGAATCCTTTATTACCACATCCATCGGCCCTATCGTAAGGCTAGAAACAACTTCCAAAGGACGAAATCCTTTATTACCACGTCATCGATCTGTATCAAAATTATTTTTCAACTTATCCTGATTCCGATCACGATTCCGTCCTTTGGAAGACACTTAGGAACCAAGTTATCATAAATTATGATCATTGACTCGTAGCGGTTTTGAACATCTGCCCATGTGGTTGCCTGAAATTCGATCAAGTTTTCCTTCAATTTTCATGAGGCATCGGAGCTCAATGGGTTGAGACCCTTCGTAAATACCTCTGCTGCCCACTTATTCGGAACCGCTGGTAACAACATCCTTTCTTTCTGGAATGGGATCACAAACTCTCGCAACAATTCAGTTTTTCCTTGAGATATTCTGAATATTTCTGCCTTTCTTGTTTGGACCTTTTTTGTTCCAACCTGAACTTTGATAAACGAATCTGTAAGCATTTAAAAAGAGTCAATAGAATATTCTGGTAAGAGAGAATGCCAAGTTAAGGCCCCCTTCGTAAGGGTTTCGCCAAACTTCTTCAACATAACCGATTCGATCTCATGCTGGGCCAAGTCGTTCCCCTTTTACTACCGTAGTGTAGGCCATGATGTGCTCTATTGGATCCGAGGTCCCATCATATTTTGGTATATTTGGCGTCTTAAACCTTTTCGGTATCAACTCCAGTGTCGTACTTGGTTTAAACAGCAATTGCGTATACTTCTTCAAATCGGTCCCTTTAACACCGGTGGCACTCCTGGGATTTGACCCATCCAAGCATGAAATTCCTTTGCATTCTGATTCATTCGTTCATGTATTTCTTTCATGAATCTCATGAGCTCTATTTTGAAAGGGTCATTTAAGTTGTTATTCCCAGATCTACTATTGGTACCTCCTACTTCGTCGAAACTGATCTCCTCCTTCAGAGTGTCGTTATCAGTTCTTTGAACCATTTGATTTGTGGGAACACTTGAGGAATCAGGGCTCTTTTACTCGCATTACTGGAAGCACCCGACAACGCTTGTTTTAACTCTATCATCACCAGATCTTGCCTTGAGAGGTGGTCCATGATTGCTCTTTGTTGTTCTCTTAGAAGTTTGACCGTTTCAGCAACGTGTTCATCATCCGCACCAATAGGAGTTGGGCTCCTCACCTGACGAGGATACTGACCTTCACGAACAGGGGTTGCTTCATCTCTTTCGGTGCGGGTTTTGCTGGTTGAATCATCATGCTGGGCCACTTCCCATTCATTGTGCGATTCAACATTGAAGACGTTGTTGCCATCATTAGCTGCCATATCTGATTTTCCTTTTACTATGAGATGACTTAATTTTGTTAGTAATAAATGAATGGATCAAAGCAATTACACAACTATCTATGACCCACGGTGGGTGCCAAACTATTTACTCGTAAAACGGTAAAATTAAATTTGTTACATGGTTTATAGACAAGCGAATCGATTTGACCCACAAAATATTAAGTAACTAAGAACAAAAAGATTATGAAACGAATTAAAGGAAATATGAGCATGGCTTATGCGCTTAACTTTTCCGATAGCAGAAATACGAACAATATTGAGGGCATAAGAAAGGAAGTAACTTCATATTTTAGAAAGCAAAATATAGATTTTGGCATACAGAATATTTCGTCTTCACAAAATGATGTTAATTCTCCTATTTATATAGCCTTATTTAGGGAGACAAGATCCCCAAATCAAGCCTTTTTGAATGAGAATAAAATCTTTATTAATAACTGGATATTGGCTATAAATGCTTATATTTTCTATAACAGTTGCTCGTTAAATGCTATTCGATATCAAATATTTGAATCTTTATTGTAAGCTACTCCGCCTTCGGAATTCGTCCAGCATCGGTCACATACTCACATCCGGTGCCAGTTATCTGCTGATTCATGTTCCATCTATCTTCAGTTCTACGTGCCAACTCATCATTCGTCCAATTACCACTAGCCAATTTTACCCCATACATAGTGTATATTTTTTATATTTTGGCCAACAACTTTAGTTATTTTTGGCTAACTGCCAAATTTGTTAAAAGCTTTAAAAAAATAGGATTTATTTTAGGGAAAATTTCACATTAGAACAACTGGGAACCCTACTTTTCAATTTTATAACCTATATTTTAATTTACAATCAACTAGCCCAAAGATAATAGGCTAAGATTCAACATCCAACTCCAATATGTTCTCAAAATTACTATTGAATTTTTATAAAAGATTGCTCAAGCTTTTAAATTAATTTTTGAATCAGTAACTGTAACTCAAATATTAGTTCAACAAACCAAATCCATTTGGATGGTGAAAATTAAATTTCTAACAAGCTTAAATATGTGGGTTTAGATTCCGAATTTAATTTTGTGAAAAATTTAGAGTGGGTATTATCTAGAATTTTTAGAAATAGTATAAGGAGATTGTATATAAAATTTGAAGTCATTTAATGGAGATTTGGACTGATTTTGAACAAGAATTGCAACTGAAAATCGTGGAAGAAGTTCGTCTACAGACGCTTGTATAAAGGTGTATAAAAATGTATAATAGTGTATAAGATGTGTTTATACACTCATATACACTATTATACAAGATTATACATAATTATACAAAAAACTAACTTCGTCTTCTTCCATGTGTTTTTTCTGAAATTTAACTCTAATCTTGCTCAATTTATTCCAAATCACTTCAAATTTAAATTTTGAACTCCTTTTGATATTTCAATCAATTGGAACAACACCCAATCCAAATAACTAACAAACTCAAAAAATCTTATTTTTGAAAGCAAAGCTTTGAATGGCCTTCAATGGTGGAATGTTGAATCTTCAATTTTCTTACATTGCAACCAGGTGACACAGGGAAGAAGCAGTAATGACGGATGACCTTTTGAAGCATATGTAGAAGATGTGAGAGAAAAAAAAAGTGAAAGCAATGGTTGTGAGAATATAGATTTAACTTCATAGCTTTTAGAAACAATGGTTGTAAGAAAACAGATTTTGAATTTGCTAGTGCTTTCAAAATAAGTACAATATGGACTAGGTCGGGTAAAACTTAAAAATATGGGCTATTTTTTGTTATGGTGTAAAATCAAGTGTATTTTCTTGTAATTATTTTTAAGGGGCTTAACGTGGTGCGATTCAATTTAGTCCGAGCAAGTAAATATGAATGATTATACATAAGAAATTCTTCCAAAATTCTTTTTTATTAAGTATAATATAAAAAATAAATTTTTGTTTGAGTGATTTTGCGAATTGATATAGACAAAAGGAGTGCCTTCTTAATTGTTTATTGTAAAACGTAAAAAATGTATAGAGTTAGGTGATTATCAGAGAGCGGCTTCTTAATTCTTTAAGTTTGGTTAAGCAGAACGTAAAACACGTATATTGTTTAGTGATTACCAGTGCTTCTTAATTGTTTAGTTTTGATAAAGCAGAACGTTAAAGAAAAGGAATTTAGTTAGGTAATTATCAGACAGAATGCCTTTTAGATTTACCCCTTTTAGTTTCAAATATTATTCGTTTTCACGAATCACAGACAATATCATCTTGAGCCATGAATTGGTGAAGGGCTATGGCATGAAAGATATCACCCCTAGATGTATGCTAAAAATAGATATGAGAAAGACTTATGACTCAATAGAATGGCCATATGTCGAGCAAGTCCTACAATGCCTCCAGTTCCTAGTAAAGTTTATCAGATGGATTATGTGTTGCATCTCAACTGTATCCTATTCAGTTTTACTCAATGGAGAGCCATTACCACCTTTCCCAGCTAAGAAAGGCCTAAGGCAAGGAGATCCTCTTTCCCCATTCCTTTTCGTGCTTGCCATCGAATACCTTAGCAGAAGTTTGAAGGGTATCAGTGAAGATAAAAAGTTCAAATTTCACCCTAGATGCAAAAAGATGCCGATTATTTAACTTGGATTTGCAGATGATCTCTTATTATTTTGTAAAGGAGAACTAGAGTCTATCACTATGCTGGTCCAGTGCTTCCAAAAGTTCTCACAAGTGTCTGGATTGAGTGCCAATACTGAGAAAAGCTCAGCGTACTTTGGTGGTGTCCCTCGGGAGATCCAACAACAAATCCTTCAGGCTAACCAATTTGGTAAGGGAGATCTACCTTTTAGGTACTTAGGCATTCCCTTGAGTACAAAAAGGTTGTCTATTATTCAATGCAAACCTCTAATAGACAAGATGCTGGCTAGAATAAAATCATGGACCACTAGATACTTATCATATGCTGGAAGAATCCAACTTGTGAAATCTGTGTTGTACTCTATTCAAGTATATTGGTCACAAGTGTTTGTGCTGCCAAAAAAAGTTGTTCAGATGATAGAAGCAATTTGCAGAAGTTTTGTGTGGACTGGAGGTAGTAATCTTAGCAAGAAAGCATTGATTGCTTGGGATAGATTATGCCTTCCTAAAGCAGCAGAGAGTCTAAATATTTTAGACATCTATACATGGAACTGGGCTGCTATTGGTAAACTACTATGGAACATATGCAGAAAGAAAGATTGCCTACGGGTAAAATGGATCCATGCATACTATACCAAGGCAGGGGAAGTATGGCAGACTAAGACTACCCAAGCTTCACGGGTGGTACAGAAAATTATTAAAACAAAAAGCATGTTTGAAAAAATAGGTCTCCATGAAACAGATGTAGCTGCTATGACCAAATACTCAATAAAGGATATATATGGAGCCTATCATGGGGAATTTCAGAAAGCACCTTGGAGAAGAATGGTCTGCAACAATAATGGCCAACCTAAATGGACATTCATCTTATTCTTGGCTCTTCGCAGAAAACTGCAAACTAAGGAGAGGATAACATCCTGGGCAAATCTAGAGGATATGGACTGTGTGCTGTGCAAGCAAGAAAATGAAGATATCGCCCATTTACTATTTGAGTGCATGTATGCTAAACAAGTGTGGTCAAAGCTCCTAGCTTGGCAAAGCATAAAAAGAGAAGTGTGGAACTGGAAGCATGAAGTATAATGGGCTATAGAAAATGCTACAGGGAAGATTGCTCAACAGGAGGTACACAGAATGACATTAGCTGGTGGAGTGTATCACATATGACAGGAAAGGAATGCTAGAATTTTCAAGGATAGCAGCAGATCTGCAGATCAAGTGGTTAAGAAACTGATAAGAGAAGTTCATGTTAGAGCTCGCAAAGTTAGTAGATTGGATAGATATATGAAAGATTTGAATTTTTACCCTTAGAAAGTAGAGCTCTGTAGATAAGGTTGAATAGAGATAGTATGCAGCAAGTTTGGGACCTTATGTCCAAACTGCTGATTCCAGATGGAAAATGTGTAACTGACTTTGTGATGATATAAAATATAATATAATTACCAAAAAAAATTATTTTAAAATATTTCATATATTAAATATTTAATAAGTTATTTATTATATTTTTTAAACTATTACAGTCTCAGTTAATGTTATGTTAATTAAGTATTTTTCAGAAAAGAGATAAATGATAATTTAAACAAATATGATAAGAGTGTTATCTTAGAGGAAGCGGCGGCACGTTTGCATTTGCCATGGGATTTAGGGTTTTGACGGTTTTTATTTTATTTTTATTTTAAATAACTACATGTTTTCAGGGTTTGTACACTTGTCAAATGAAACCTTTGATTATTGTTTCAAAGTTTGTGGCAGTTTCCAGGAAACTATGGAAGTGTTGAACTCTCTCTTGGAGTCAAAAGAATCTTTTTTCCTACTTTACGGAATTTAATAAAATTTGTGACATAATTATTGTATGGAGCTATATAAAATACAGAAAGCTAAAAAAGGTTTAGGAAATAATCTATATCTATGTATGGAGCGTAAATATACTATACTTACCATGAGAGCAACCCCTCTTGTCACAACTATAACTATACCATTTGTAATATTAAGGGGATCGGGGAATAAAAGAGGCGGATCATTACCGTAACTTAAAGTTTTCAAATTTCCTTTCTACTAGGAGTAATTCAAAATCGCCTAACTTGAACTTTACATGTTTCTATTTTGTTAAAATTTTTATTTTATGAGAATAACTCATAATGGCATAGCATATAATAAGCTACTAAGTTTTTGGAATCGAAGAGTTGTTCTTACCGACTAAAAGTATTTGGTCAACTTTTATATTCATAAAAAATGGATTTACACTAGACAAAAACAGAAAAAATTTGTTTACTAAATCTTTCTTTATTAGAATTATAATGATCTGAATTTAAGGACCTTATAATCCAATAATCTATATTATATTTTAAACACGAAGGTACTTAGTGAAATATCATTAATTTCTTTTACCTTTTTATACTAAAATTTTAAAATACAGTTCACATTGGTAAAATAGTCATTTGATTATTTTTCTAATATTAGGAATAGTTATTTAATTAATCTCCTACTATCTAGGAACAATTATTTAATTAATTCTCTACTATTTAATTATTATTTTTAATAGTTATAACACTTTTCTAATATTTAGGACTTTAAAATTAACCAAAACTTTAATTATTAAATAATGTATGATTAAACTAGGTATAGAGTCTTAATATTTTGAATTTAAAACTGATATAATATAATGTGGATAAGTAGTATGCTTTTGCTTTGTATGAGGACAACTTGCCGAAAGAGTTTTTTTTTTCTTTCCATAAATGTGATTGCTCAACGACAATATGGGGTCTTATTTGGCTTTGCATGTTTTGGAATAGGAGCGATCAATACATGATTTATTTTAAAATCTTCAATAAATTGTAGCTTAATTTAGTTACTGGGTACTGTATTGCATATGATAGTCATGAATCATCACATAATCTATCTATAATTAAAAGCAGAAGACAAAAGCACCTCATGAAGCCAAATGGCAAAACAATA